CACTGTATATGCCAAAAAAACACAACGTTTCGGAGACTGGATCTGTCTCCTTCCTCAGGTGGATGGGGCAAGATAGAGCTACTCAGTTGGGCCCGTTAGAAAGAGCTAGTCTCAATCAGCTCTTTCTAACGGGCCCAACTGTGTAGGTCTATCTTGCCACATCCACCTGAGGACGGAGACAGATCCAGTCTCCGAAACGTTGTGGTTTTTTGGCTTATATATACCAGACGATGGATAGAGTCCAAAATCAACCTTACAGTTCTATACAGATAACAATGTTACCCCACAATATAAGTCTTTTAATCATCCAAGAAGACTTAATATTGCATTCAGATCCAGTATTGAGCTTTACAGATCAATGATCTCGCTAATATCGAAATCCACGAGAGCGTCTTCCAGAGTCGATTTCATCTTCTCTTCTATGAAACTCAGTATATCGTCCTGGATATAAGGTTTCACAAGATCGATGAGTGTGTTCAGTAGATCGGACGGCAAACCTCCTCCAACAGCTTCGACAGCTATGTTCCTGATGAGGAAAACACAATTATTGAGACACAACATTCTGACAACATTATTTTCCGCAACAGCAATAATAAAAGTACATATTATTAAAGTAGTCTAAAATACATTATGGGCCTTACATAATATTGTATTTAAGCATTCTCTTTCATTTGTTGAGTACTTGATGTGTGTACCTGCATTATATGTGTAACACTCTTCTGTAAATGCAATAACTCCTAGATTATTGGTTTAAACAAACTCTGAAGTAGATTCTAAAGGTTTCTAACAACGGTATCCATCATCTGGGATTACTGGGGTTTGAGATTCTGCATGGTCCGGTTTTCTAAATAACAAAACTTTCGGAAACTACAGTTGTTTCCTTCCTCAGGTGAGAGGGGTTGAAGACTCCTGTTCCAGTGATAGATGTTAGCTTTTCTAACGGCACCAACAGAGTAGGTACTTCCCATCCCCTCACCGGAGAACGGAAATAGACTCAGTCTCCGAAACGTTGTGCCCTTTAGAATACCGGACAATGAAGAGTCCAGAAACCTAGTAATCCCGAGCAAACGATAATTAGTCTAGCCTGGATTGTAACATAAATGAAACATAGACTAAGCAGAGTTTAGCAATAAACTAGGAAGTGTTGTATTTACAAGACTGTCTTACGAATAAATATCAAACAAGCTTTACGTGTTCTAATGATTAAAAGAGGATATGAACAGTCTATTTCTCGTTCTGAGGGAGTAATTAGTTAACATTTTAAATCAGATATTTTTTTAATAACCGTCAAATTTAACTCGTTTGGGAACAGATTTGTATACTTTGTGGAAAAGTTTTTGTCGTTGGAACTATACTATAATATGGTATATGAAAATGTGAACATTATAAGTACACTGGGCATTTATTCACATTTTAAAATATCTGAGCAATTTTGATATTGTTTTATGACTTGTTCTAAGGTTTCCAAAGTGGTCTCTTTCCGTCACGTGATGCGACTAAAATATTTATGCTTTTCCTAGTTCTCCAGTGAGCATTGCAGATCACAGTATTTACAAGTACAGATATTACTGTAGACATAAAAATAATTACTTACGTATGACACAACATATACAAATAATAAAAGAAAATAGGGTCATATAGACCAGATATACGTACATCAAAGTACAAGATCCTCTGAGAATAACTACAGAATCTACAGCTGCAGCAACATGAATATTTACAACCTAATACTGACATGATGGCAATCTTACTTTGCACCGACAACGGTGAAGCGGGAAAGCGTTGTCCTGAAAGTGGTTAGATCGGCATTGAGAACAACTGCAATTCGAAGGCCTTCCGCTCTGCCTAAGAGCTCTCCAGAAGGCTGTAAACCGAAGACTGAAACGCGGAAATCATAATCCAGCTGAAAGCAGAACATTTATCAAGTAGGTTAAATTCTTTACAGCTCTCTGTATGCATACGCAGTGCTACAGAGTACGAATCATTGTCTGTACGTACAGTTATACGCATAAACATTACATTTGACCCAATGAAATAGAGCCTTCCTTTAGAAAATGATAGTAAATTAACGGGTCAAAATGATTGCCGCTTCTTACAGAACAAAGCGTTTTGTCGCCATGTTCACAAGAATCTGCTACTGGGTACCATTCTGAGCCAGTTGGAACCAGTCCAGTTCCTCTTTTCCTTAGGGCTGAACGAGACTGAATATCTGTTACTTGGGAAGTAAATTTCCCACTGTAATAGTGCTGGAAAATAGATGAAATGAATGGAGCATTTCGTGGAATGAGAATTGGTAGAGGAACGGAAATACTGGGAGAAAAAATTGTCATAATATCACTGTGTTCACCTGTACAAAAACTAGCGCCCTATTTCTTTAAGGTCTATTTTAATCCATATAAGCCCATGTGGAAGGAAATGTTTAATGGCCGTACACCTTATATCGAATTAAAGAGCTAAATCACAGAGTAACCAAGGAGGCAAACTGAAGAACGATGGCATAAAAATGAACATTGACAAAATTGAAGGGATAGAAAGAGGTCAAAAATAAATAAACCAAGTGAAAGGAACTAGTTAGGCTTATAAACAAGTGTATGAAGAAAGAATACGAATAAATAAATAAATAAATAAATAAATAAATAATATTATTTGCGTTTTCTGACTGACAAAATGTCAACAACTACCCATGTTGGACCCCGCATAGATGCCTTACGGCTGTTTTATCGAGATGTCCAAGTAGCCTTTAGACAACTCTCGTTTATTTATTTTGTCCAATATGTTAATCATTCCATTCATTGGTCAGTTATTTAATAAAAAATTAATTTTATAAGTCCATTAATCGCTCAAAGAACATTGCCTTTTACTGAAAATAGTATAGGCCTTTGTAGGATCTGAGGGGGCGTCTTTCTTCAATTTAAAATTGTATATATATATTGTAGCCTAAAGATGTCACTTTCTTCTCAACGCCAAACATGTCATATAGTGGTAAGATTTTAGGTATTCACAGCGGTGACTATGAAGAAAGCAGTCTTGTGGGATGTGGCGCCGTGTAGGTATTGTGTAACGGACGAACAGAGGAACTAATTAGTCTGTTAGCACCTGCTCACGCTGGTTCCTTGCTCGTGGATTTCCTTCTTTTTTCTTCTACCCTGAGGATGGACGCGATACGTTGCTCCGAAACGTCGGTTAACAAAATATCTACACGCCGCCACATCCCAGAAGACTGTTTTCTTCATATCATATAGTGGTCCTGCTTAAATAAATGTATTTCCGGTTTTGTGTTCCGGTGTTGGAGAAACCAGCAGGTTGAGCCTTTTCTGTGTGACGGAGCTTGCTCGGTTTATCCCTTCTCGTGTTCCTATTACTTACTCCAGTTATTGACAGCGTAATTAGTCGACATATGATAGAAACATGACGGCTGGAGAGTTAGGGTTTCTCGCGCCGAGCAGACAGCTACAAGACTTAAGTTCCAAATTAATTCGAGTTCAGGTCGCAAGTCATGTAACTTACATGGAGCCTTTCGAACACGAGGTCTGTGGAGATGTGCACCAGGTCACCAACGAACTCCACGTCTGCTTCGCCAGATCGGAGAAGTGTTATCAGGTCTCGCAGCCAGCCGTTCGTTAAATACAGAAATCCTTCAGCCTCCGCTCCGAAGATTGTCTGGTGAACAGAGATAAGATACGGTCGTTACAATGGGATGAATACAGTTTAGGAATCTCGTGATGTTAAAGAAATAAATTAAGGTTTCGTAATAAATGGATACTATATTTCCGGCTATTGCTATTGAAGTTCCAGAGCTGCTGACTTCTTTATTCACTTGATTTATGCGAGCGAGAGTCAGTAAATAGACCACAAGTGGAATGTAATGGATGTAATAGGTTTTCTATGTGATCACTAGGTAGCAACAGTCCAGTTTCATGACAGTCTAGGTAGCAGAAGGGCATGCGCATGTTCAGAGGCTGGTTTCAGTAGTCAAAAGGCGACCATGTTTTAGGAGTATACTACCGAAAGAAAAGTTATGCTGTACGATTTTGTGGGCAAGAGGATTCAATACAAAGGAATTGGGAAGTGTTTGTCTCGAAAAGCGGTTCATCCTTGGTGGCAAACATTTCGCTGATGACGAAGGTGTCCTTTAGTATGACAGAATAAAAGAGAATTCAAATACTGTCAGAAACAACATATATATATTCTTGAGAGTAAGGTCAACTGAATGTCCCCTTTTTTCACAGAGTTCACGCCTGTACTACAGTTTTTGAGGCTGCTAATGGGTTTTACATATAAGTGATATTATTGTAGCTGATTTGTGTGATTCATATATTGGTCGTAAAATATTTAAGCAAATATGTGTATGCTTATTTTTCGCCGCCGTGTTTACATAACATGTGTTTACCCTACGAATTTGCTGAATATATAGTAATAATACTTAACGTAAGCCACATATTACATTATTTTAAGTTGAATATTTTATAAACGCTAAAAGTTTGTGACGATGATACGAGTATATTAATACAACTGTTGTGTTTCTGAACATTATCCATCGTCCTGTCTTTATTTAGATGGACAATGTCCTGAAACATAATTGTGTTAAAATTTCATTACTGTATTATGGACAAAATTGCTTCTGTTTATGTGTAACCATGAATTTGGTTTTGTACATTTTCCTGGTTAATTTTCTGCTGGAATCGTACAAATATGTCCTGTAAACTTCTGTTATGATATTAGGGTAGGAATGTGAACAAATATAAAGAGGTGCTGCATTCATTAAAGCGAAAACTATTGGATACAAAAGTTTAAATTACTGGGTAAAAATATTTCGAACTCTATTGTCTCTTTCAACGCGAATATTTTCAGTCATGTTCATGATATTTTTTGTGGAAAATCTGCAGCTTAATTCTTCAAATAGGTTACAAATTAAGAGGACTAATCCGTGGTATTTTCCATGTTACTCACCACAGTGAATTTCCGTGTCAAATCAGGGACAGCCAAAGGTTCCAGGGAATGTTCCAATGCATATTTTCGCAGGCGTTCCACCACAGCGTCCACAAATACATTGGCGGCTGATCTGATACGCTCACGAATCTCGGCGCTATTCCTGGAATAGAAACGCAAAATTAATTTATGTGAGTTAATATTCCGTCTCTTTATCTAATTCTCACATATAGGCCCGGCATACATTGGTTATATTGCAAATATCAGGCAGTTCTCTTCCCTCAGACTGAATAAGATGCATTAGCAACCTGCCCGGCAGTCGTAAAAGTTTGTGCAGAGTCGATAACCGCTAAATCAATAAAAATACCATTTTATTGTGGATCAGTTTTGAAGGTTGCAATCAACAAAAGAGCATAAGCTTTATTATATATCTGTGATAGTCAACGATTTCCACAAATATTATTTCTCAGCGCACCAAACATATAGATTTATTGCTGTAAAACAGTGGAAACGCGTAACATAACCGATATATATATATATATGCCTGTTATAATGGTCATAGTTCTGGATACAGATCCATAAGTCCCGGGTTCGATTCCCGACGCTACAAGTTTTTCGGAGAAGTAGTGGGTCTGGATCAGGGTACACTCAGCCTCGTGAGGATAAGTGAGGAGCAACTTGAATTGAAAAATGGCGGCTTCGGTCTATAAGTCAACATTATCATCGATATTAAAGCAATAGTACGACTATGTATGTAAGGGGTGGGCCATAAAAACCGGCTTCAGTGATCTGTTGTGCTTCCCCTTGGATGAGCCCTTTATTAATCCGGATAGGGTCCAGTGAGATTTCTTGCATGGACACTAATTGACTTCAGCTTCTGTAAGAGACGAGAGATTTAATAATCAACAATAAATAAAATTCTTACCTTTCTTGCAATTCCTGAACACTTGCCGTGGACACGCTGCAAGCAAGCACAGCAATGGCCGCGATGAGTATCGCTATTGACTTCATTGCGGTTCTGTTGAACTCTTGAGAGTATGAGAAGAGGCGTGCTCTATATTTACACTTGAGTATACTGGATATGAGTGTGTGTGTGTTCAGTATTTATATATCGGAATCAACTGCATTCGGGCAAAAAATCTGAGAACAAGAATGTTCCAAGTACATATAATCTATTAATAAAATTATCTTCTGATACAGATCAAACCAGAGAAGCCGCTGCATTATCTGGACGAACCGTACCAAATTGATAATACCTGTTTTGGAAGAAAATGTGATATTTTAAATATCTGAATGAGTTTTATATATGATATAATCCTTATTTATTTATGTAAATATTGTGACTTATTTGCAATATCCTTTGCTTGGTAACGGCTCAATAAACACGTCCCCACTGCAACAGATAAAAAGTAAAAAAAAGTAGAGCTATCCCTGTACCAGGCCGTGAAGGCCCATAGGGTTGTGAGACGTTCAGAGTTCCACATTATCTAGACAATCGGCTCAAAGATGGCGAATAAGTTGTCAGCCTTACGCGCAGGCCGCGCTTTACTCCCGAATAAAATTATTTAATTAATTCCTGGTACTAATTTATGTTGCCGGTCACGGTAGCCGAGCGGTCTAAGGCATGCACTGTCTTCGCTCGCTTGGAAGCCGGGATCGTGGGTTCGAATCCCACTCAGGGCATAGATGTTTGTGTGCGTTTTTCTGTGTTTGTCTACAGGTA